TGGTGCTGGAGAAAGCGCAAGCAGGAGCAGACGCGTGCAGGGCTGTGGGCCCGCACTACTTATCGGTGCCTACGCAGAAACCCTTGAGTTCTTTCGACAGCAGGTCTTGGCCGGCGTGCTACACAGAGTTCTGGTTCGGGGACGGCGCGCCGAACCTCGAGCGGGAGCGGCCCATGCTGTTCGAACAGGTCTTCCCCAGGAATACTACTTATGCTACCAGTGTTGATAGTGGAGTCGATCCATTGATAGCAGTGTGTCGTTTGGACCTACATGTGTTGATAGCAGTGTCTCGTGGAAACCTACATCCATTGATCGCAGTGTCTTGTTTGTACCTACGTGCGTTGATAGCAGTGTCTCGTTTGGACCTACATGTGTTGATAACAGTGTCTCGTTTGGATCTACACCCACTGATACCACTGTCTCGTTTGGACTTACATGTGTCGATGGCAGTGTCTCGTTTGGACCTACACATGTTGATAGCAGTGTCTCGTTTGGACCTATATCTATTGATAGCATTGTTCCGTTTGGACCTACATGTGTTGATAGCAGTGCCCCGTTTGGACGTACATGCGTTGATCGCAGTGTCTCGTTTGGACCTACATGCGTTGATAGCAGTGTCTCGTTTGGACATACATCCGTTGAACGCAAAGTTGCGTTTGGACCTACATGTCTTCATAGCAGTGTCTCGTTTCTTCGTCCTTCGAGGTCGCACGGCGCCTCATCAACCTGGAGGAGCTCGAGTACTCTCTCGCGACCGACGAGGAGCCCTACGAGGCAGCTTGCCAGAGCCGCTTCAGCTCGCCAGAGCTGATTGCCGTCTTCGGCGACGTGATCCGCCGGCTGCGGCTCTTGAAAGGCACTCGGGCGGCGATTTGCAGGAAAGGCTTCGGCACTGACCTCCAGACCCTGTCAGAGGCGTCGGCGGAGGATTTCATGGAGGCGCTAAACATCGCTAAGCCGGCCGACTGCATCGGCTCCGCCATTTCACGCCCGGGCATGCCTGCCAAGGTCAAGACTGCCCTCAGGACGTTGCTACTTAGCACTTCCGATGTCCCTGGCACGGAGGGGCGGAAAACCGCACTCCGCTTCAACGGGCACGGCAACAACCTCAAGTTCGGCGCGGCCAGCTTCTTCGTCACACCGAAGTTCGCAGACACGTACAGCCCGTTGGTCCTCCAACTCCACGAAGGGCCCGGAAAGCGGAGCCACTTAGACATTCGCGGGGGCGCGGTTGGCGCGGTGGCCAGAGCCGGCGGCGCTTCTCAGCCTGCTGGCCCTGACCTGCGGAGTCAAGCTCCGGCCATGCCTTCTCTGGAACGGATGCACCAGATAGTGGCAGCAGACCCGCGGGCGCAGGCCAAGTTCTTCCTGTTGATGACGGAGCTTCACTACCGCTACATCATCGGCTTAGAGCGCCTGTTTGTTGGCCGCACAACGCTAGCCCGACAGGCGGTGACAACGGAGGACGACGTGCAGCGTCTCTGCAGCCGTGCGTGGCCCCAGGCACCACTGATGTGCAAGCGCCTTTCGAAGCACAGGGTCGGGGCTTCACGCACGGCCACGGCAAAGGCCACAGCGTCATCGGGCCTACGATGGCGTGGCTGCGGTCGGCAGTGGTCGGAGGCCTGCGCACCGCCGCTCGGGAGCTGCGAACTGCGCTTCTTTCCGCCGCGGAGACCGTGCAGTACGAAGCTGCCAACGAGCCCGCACGGCAGCTGGGGCTTCCTGACGTCGCGCCAGAGCCTTTCACAGCCAGGCAGCAACGACAGAGCCGCATGGACGGAGGGGAAGAGGAGGACGGCACCCTGCGCGACGAAGTGCCTCTCGGCCCGCCAGTGGAGCAGCCGCACCTGGTGGAGGAGCGAGCGCGGGCAGCCGCAGAGAACCGGATGCCTGCAATCGGCGCTTCAGCGT